CTGTGTGCTGTGCTGTCACAGTGTGCTGTCACTGTGTGTTGTGCTGTCACTGTATGTTGTCACTGTGTGTTGTGCTGTCACTGTGTGCTGTCCTGTCGAGTAGGAACCGACTCAGAGTTGACCCTCCCGTGAGTTTTCAGAGCTAGTAAATCACACAGAAGAAAACAGTCCATCCTTCTCCCATGAAGCAGCTGGTGGATTCAGACCAACTGCCTTAGGTTTGGCAGCACTGCTCCTTACTACTGGGCCACTGGAGCGCCCTGGTACCCAGATCCTGGAAAGGCTAACGGACTCAGACAGCCCACATTCTGCTTAACCGTGGTGTCACCCGTGGACTGCATGGTCCGAATCCACCACCACAAAAAACAATCAAACTGAGAAGAACAACTAGAAGGTTAGCCACAAAGCTCAGGCAGCAGGGAGGGTGTCAGTGGGGAAGGGGGTGAGGCAAAACAAAAGGCAAAAACATCACCGCCCTTCCACTGTCCACGCAGGAGCCACAGACACGGGACATGTCCGCCGTGGACACTCAGAAGCCCGCCTACCCACTGCCCACCATGGGCTCCGACTCGTAGTGGTCCCACAGGGCTGAGAGCAGCCCCGAGGTCTTCCAAGGCTGCTGTCCTTACAGAAGAGGACAGCTGCATCTCCCCCTACAAGACGGCTCGAGGTTCAAACCACCAACCTCTGGATAAGCAGATGATTGTTTAACATTCTGAGCAACAACAAAATAATCCACAAAATGAGGTCCATGGAGCTCAGCTTGAGTGAGACACAATCCAACCCTTAATTGTGAATTTGATAAACCAGCAATTCCAGCAAGCTGAGAGTTTATGCACTCAGACCTCGACGTTCCCACTCCTAACAATATCCGTGACCTGCTGGCCCCCAGGCAGACGTGCTGACAAGTGAGACCCACTCACAGTTTCGGGACCTGAGCTCCTGAGCACCCGAGCAGGGTGCTGCCCACAGCTCCCGCCTGAAGGTGCAAAGCACAAAGTCTCCCGGTGAGAATCTGACCTGGCCCTGGTCCCTCGGCTGTGGTAACGTGGAAGCCACACAGCCAAACCCGTTTCCTCAGCACACAGCCCATGAGGAGGCCTGACGCCCCCGAACCAACTCCCTCCTGGCCACCTGGGCAGGTCCCCAGGAACTTGAAGGCTGCGGCCTTAGGGAGATTGTCAGGCCTTTCCTTGGAGCCACCCTGAGTGGACTTGAACCACCACCCTTTAGTCAGCAGTCAAGTCCTGAACCATTCTGCTTAGAGGGAAGGAGTGTTGGTGGCACCATGGGACAAGCACTGGGTTGCTAACCAAATGGTCAGCAGTTCAAACCGCCCAGCCAGAAAGAGACAAGACCACAGACGCCCCCTAAACCAAGCACAGGAGTCTCCCGGGAAAGCCTCACCCTTTTCTCCGGCTTCTCATGCTCCCTGCTCTTCTCCTTGTCGGGGTCCCGGGGGTGCTCGCTGTTCTTCACACGCCGTCTGTCCCTGTCTCTGTCCCTGTCTCTGCCCTTGTCTCGGCCTCGCTCTTTCAACCTCTCCTGCTCCCGGCCACCCTCACTCTTGCGCTCCCGCTCCTTGTCGCGCTCCGCCTCCCTGTCCCGGTCCTTGTGGCCTCGGTCCTTGTCTCCTCGGTCCTTGTCGCGCTCGGGCTTGGTCCGGGCCTTATTCTTGTCCCGCTCTCCGTCCCGGGAATGGTCCCTCTCGGGGTCTCTGGGTCTGTCCCGGTCGCTCTCTTTGGCTTTCTCCTTCTCCCTCGGCTTACTCTCCTCTTTCAGGTCTTCCTTCTGGTTTTGATCTCTGCTTGGACTTCTCTCTTTGATTTCAGAGTTTCTTTTATCCTAAAAAAGACCAAAAGACATCAGTCTTTTGTTTCCAGCTGAACTGTGGGAAAACACACTGCTGTGGAGTCAGTTTTGGCCCGAAGCGACCCTCCAAGAACAGGCGCCCGTGAATCTTTACGGGAGGAGCCTGCCTTCTCGGTCTGCTCAGAGCAGCCGGGTGACCTGAACTAGTGACCTTTAGATTAGCAGCCCCTTGAACTACAAGAAGACAGATCCCTTCATCGCCCAGGGCAGGAGTGAAGGCCGGTGCTCACCTCCATGTCCTTGCGACCGCGGGGCTCCTCCTCCTTCGCGTGCCTGTTGTCCACTTCCTGAGATTTTGACGCCTTGCCCTTCCCGTCTCCTTTCTCTCCAGCTAGAACCCTCCTCACAGCGTCCTCACTGGAGAGCTGCATGCAAGCACACAAAACACAGTGAGAGTGAGCAAACAGGACTGTCCACGCTCAGCCAAGTACAGCATCCACACTCGGCCAAGTGCAGCATCCACACTTGGCCAAACGCAGCACGCCTGGCTGCTTCCGCCGGGACTCAAAAGACAAAGCAGAAAATGAAAACCAACTGTCCCACAGGGCAGCGTCACCTAACTATCCCCAGAAACTCCACTAGGTCACAGCACCGTGATCCCCCATGCTGATACTCATGGGTGATGGCACTGACACCCCCCCAAAAGCACTTCACAATCAGCACCCCAAAGGCCAGAGCTGGAGGGCTCCACAAGACCATATGTATCCAGCCTAGAACCCTGGCACCCACAGGCCAGAGTGAGGAGCCTGGTCAGTGTCCGTCCAGGAGAGAAAGGGTTCCTGAAGAGTGACAGCACATCAAATCACGACTAAGTAAGCAAAGAGGGGGTGAGTGGACAGAAGGCACACCCCGAGGAGGGGGAAAGGAGAGACTGGGACACCCCATCAACCCCAAGGGTGAAAACAAGCTGCTTCTGTGGCCACTTGGCCTGGCTGGACAGAGCTTTTCAAGGGCCCAAGGCTTGCCAGGGCACGCAGCATCCAGCCTGCACGCAGAGCCTTGCTCCCTGGAACCCCTGCCTCCAGGCTGTTGCCATCTGCCCATCTGCCCAGTGCAAGAGTTCTCCGGTCTCATCTCCAGGTTTCACATCACCACGCCTGCAGCTCAAGGCGCAGTATACCCAGACCTGATGCAACATGCGGCACCAAGCAGGCATGATGATAGCCGCTGCCCTCCTCCCCTCCCCAGCACTGGGGCTGTGCCCACCGGCCCACACATCCCACCACAGAACTGGGGTCCAGCCTCTACCCTGCCCAGCTCTCAAGTCCCAATCCCTGGCATGGGGGTGGACAACTAGGCCACACACTGACCAGTGCTCAGCTTCCCATTCCTTGCACTTGGGGTCCAGCTATGTACCCTGGCCAGCTATCGGTCCCTCATCCCCAGCACTGGAGGCCCCACCATGTAACCTTCCCAGCTCTCAGCCCCCCATCTCCTGCAACAGAAGACCCACAATGTTCCCTTCTCAGCTCTTCCTGCCATGCCCAGCACCAGAGGTCTTACCATGGACCCTGCCCAGCTCTGAGCTCCTTATCCAGCCCTGGGGGCCTCACCTTGTACCCTTCTCGGCTCTCAGGCCCCGTCTCCAGCACTAACTCTCAGGCCCTCCCCAGCACTGACTCTCAGGCCCCCGTCTCCAGCACTGACTCTCAGGCTCCGTCTCCAGCACTAACTCTCAGGCCCTCCCCAGCACTGACTCTCAGGCCCCGTTCTCCAGCACCGACTCTCAGGCCCCGTCTCCAGCACCGGCTCTCAGGCCCCCATCTCCAGCACTGACTCTCAGGCCCTGTCTCCAGCACTGACTCTCAGGCCCTCCCCAGCACTGACTCTCAGGCCCCGTCCCCAACACTGACTCTCAGGTCCCCATCTCCAGCACTGACCCTCAGGTCCCCGTCTCCAGCACTGACCCTCAGGTCCCCGTCTCCAGCACTGACTCTCAGGCCCTTCCCAGCACTGACTCTCAGGCCCCGTCCCCAGCACTGACCCTCAGGTCCCCGTCTCCAGCACTGACTCTCAGGCCCTCCCCAGCACTGACCCTCAGGTCCCCGTCTCCAGCACTGACTCTCAGGTCCCCGTCTCCAGCACTGACTCTCAGGCCCTCCCCAGCACTGACTCTCAGGTCCCCGTCTCCAGCACTGACTCTCAGGCCCCGTCTCCAGCACTGACTCTCAGGCCCTCACCTCCAGCACTGACTCTCAGGTCCCTGTCTCCAGCACTGACTCTCAGGCCCTCCCCAGCACTGACCCTCAGGTCCCCGTCTCCAGCACTGACTCTCAGGTCCCCGTCTCCAGCACTGACCCTCAGGTCCCCATCTCCAGCACTGACCCTCAGGTCCCTGTCTCCAGCACTGACCCTCAGGCCCCATCTCCAGCACTGACCCTCAGGTCCCCATCTCCAGCACTGACTCTCAGGCCCTCACCTCCAGCACCGGCTCTCAGGCCCTGTCTCCAGCACTGACCCTCAGGCCCCATCTCCAGCACTGACTCTCAGGCCCCCATCTCCAGCACTGACTCTCAGGTCCCCGTCTCCAGCACTGACCCTCAGGCCCCGTGTCCAGCACTGACTCTCAGGTCCCCATCTCCAGCACTGACTCTCAGGCCCTCCCCAGCACTGACTCTCAGGTCCCCGTCTCCAGCACTGACTCTCAGGTCCCCGTCTCCAGCACTGACTCTCAGGCCCTCACCCCCAGCACTGACTCTCAGGTCCCTGTCTCCAGCACTGACTCTCAGGCCCTCCCCAGCACTGACTCTCAGGTCCCCGTCTCCAGCACTGACCCTCAGGCCCCATCTCCAGCACTGACCCTCAGGTCCCCATCTCCAGCACTGACTCTCAGGCCTTCCCCAGCACTGACCCTC